TTGAGTCACCAGACAGTGTTTGAATAACATAGATCTAAACTAGGACGTAAATGTGAGTTAAAACTTGGGAGGGCAACCAATAGTAGAAAACTATTCATATTGCAATATGAATAGATTGGATGTCAGTATATTTTGTGTTTCTCCTCCCCCTCCTTTTCCCCCCTTACATGCCCCTTTACCCTCTGTATCCCATACCTTCTCCCAAGTTATTAATAAAAAAAAAAGAAAATATTTCTTTACCCAGTGGGTTGCAAGTCTGTGGAACTCCTTGCCACAGGATATGGTGATGGCATCTGGCCTAGATGCCTTTAAAAGGGGATTGGATAGATTTTTGGAGGAAAGGTCCATCGCAGGTTACAAGCCACGATGGGGATGTACAATCTCCAGGCTTAAAAGGAATGGACCTCCAAATGCCAGATGCAGGAGAAGTGTATCAGGAGACAGGTATCTTGTTTTCTCCTGGGCTCCCAGAGGCATCTGGTGGGGCCACGGTGAGGTACAGGGAGCTGGACTAGATGGGCCCTTTTTTAGTTCTCATGTTCTTAACATCTCCTTTGTTGGGATGCCAGATTCAGCAGGGCTCTTTATGAGATAGATTAAGACCTGAGCAGAGCTATTGAGATCAGGATATTTTGGAGTCCCTCATTCATAAAGTCTCTGTGAGTTGGAAGGGGCTTGATGGCATTTAACAAAAACAACCAAGTTCCCTTTGTTAGTGGATTTTGACTCTTACCTAGTAATTTCAAATAGGCAAGCACATACATACACTGCCAGAATTTTTGAAAAATATGCAACTAGTATCTGCACCTCACAAAACCTAAGCATGAACAGACTTAAGACAAGTGGTTTCTGTATTGCTGCTTAAATGTAAATGCACTCAATGCATGATTTCCCTTTACCCCTATTTCCTCCTCTAGAATGATCAAACATGACTTTATTTCCTACGTGTTAACAAACCTTACAGCAATGTTATTTATTCATTTATTTTATTTTATTTCTGCCCTGCCTTTCTCCCCGTAGCAGAACTCGAAGCAGCTTACAAAAATACAAATATTAAAACAATTACAAGTGTAATGCACTGTGAAAAGACAATTAAACATATTATTAAAAAGTGATAATTAAAATGCATTTAAGACAATCTTTAAAAATCCACTTCAAAGATGAAAAGGCAACTCCTCCTTAAAATCCCTTCCTTGGGAGCAATTTGCATACTCAAAAAGTACCAGAAAAGTAAAGTTTTTTGCCTACTGGCAGAAGAACAGTGGTGAAGGGGCCAGACTCTCCTCTGGCGAAATGGGAGTTCCACAGCCTGTAAGCAGCCACCATAAAGGCCCTGTTCCATGTCTGTATCTGTGCCTGGGAGGGTGGTGGGACCCCAAGAAAGAGATCTCCTAAAAAGTTTTAAACCCAGAGAAGTCGATACGGAGAGATATGTTTTCTCAAATCGTTTTGTGACTGTTTCAGACCATGTCCAGCAATAAACAGTGTCTCTTCTCTCTTGGCAGGATTCATTTCTGGGCTCAGAAATTGTACGGACTCATGTGATGAACACCGTAAAGGGTTGCTGTTGACCACACAGGCAGACGGTGAGATTAAAAGTTCATTCCATCTGGAAACCTTGCCACTCCAAGGAGCTGAGCAGGAAAATTAAAGAGTGAACAAACTCTGTTTATTTGGCAACATACATTAAACATGACAACCATTCATAAATTGTTCTGTGAATTATGCACCTCTCATAGCCCTCATGAGAGCACAACTACATTTGTTGAAAAATGAATGCCACTTTTCTGCTACCAGATTTATTTTTATTTATTTATTTTATTTATTTGATTTGTACCTCGCCCATCTGGTCTATAAGATCCAATCTCAATCCACTAATAAATGCATCCAGAAAACACTGAGAGAAATCAGCCACTGTCCATATCTGAGAATGATCCCACAGGTAGAGGGGGAGAGCACCTGGTTTTTCATGATCTTATTCTTATTAAGCATGTTTACTCATACACAAGAGTCCAGTCTTCAGAACTCCCAGATAGAGTAGCACACAGGAATTGATAGGTGGGCTTAACTGAGGGCAAAGATTCCTAATCTTGGGTCCCCAGATATTCCTGGACTTTAACTCCCAGAAATCCTGGCTAGCATAGCTAGTGGCAAAGATTTCTGAGAGTTTTAGTCCAAGAACATCTGGAGACCCAAGGTTAGGAACCACAGATCTAGAGGTAGCAACAAATGGCTGCTTGAAAGTTCCCATAGATTATGGAAGGACCCAATTCACTATATCCCTCTAGGGCAGTGAGGGCTCTGCTTGCTAGCTGTGGCTGCCATAGTTATCTGGAGACCTAAGGTTGGGAACCATAGATCTAGAGGCACCAACAAATGGCTGCTTGAAACTTCCCATAGATTATGGAAGGACCCAATTCACTACATCCCTCTAGGGCAGTGAGGGCTCTGCGTGCTAGCTGTGGCACGCGTGCCATAGTTTCGCCATCGCCGCTCTAGGGTGAGGAGCTCTCACAGACGTGGGGCACACCATAAGCCTTGGCAGCAACATGACTTAGTCCCCCCCTAAGGAAGGTCAACACCGGAGATTGGTGGGCAACTTCAAAGCCCTCAAGATGTTGGATGAATTTTGCCTCTCACGAACCCTCATCCACTGCCTAAACTAACTAGGGTTGGATGGCAGCTGCACTCCAAACAACATCTGGGATGGGAGGGGGAGCCAGATGTTGCCCAAGACATTACTCTGCCTGAAGCAAATAAGAGTCACCTTGTTGGTAATGAAGAAGACAACACCACCTGAAGGCATCTGAGTGGCTTAAGGAGATGCAGGGTGGGTCATTAAGTAAACTGCTAGGAAGCAGCAGCCTTACTCTGCCGGATGGCCACTGACCAGCCCTGAATTGCCCTCCTGTCTGTACAGTCCACTGCAGAAAAGGACATCTGTTGAGGTCTCAGAGATGGGGAAGGTGTCATTTCCTGGACCACAACTTCCAGAACCTCCCAGCCAGTCAGTGGGTGGCTCAGGGATTCTGGGAGCTGTAGCCTTAAAAAAAGGCACATCCCCTAACTCTTC